GAAATCGACCTGTCGACGCTGGAGGACAGGAGAGAGAGGGGAATATGATAACTACATATAAAATACTGAGATGAATTGACAAGGTTGACACAGACAGGATGTTCCAGAGATGGGACACAGCAACAAGGGGTCGCAATTGGAAGTTGAAGACTTAGATGAATCACAAGGATGTTAGGAAGTATTTCTTTAGTCACAGAGTTGTCAGAAAGTGGAATAGTCTGGAAAGTTATGTAGTGGAGGCTTTAAGAAGAGGTATGATAAAGTTCCTGGAGCAGGAAGAGTGACCTAGTAGCAACCACTGAAGAGGCGGGCCAGGAGCTGTGAATCAACCCCTGCAGCCACAACTGGGTGAGCACACACACACACAATTAGATCTATGAATCGTTTCGGGGAAGTACATACAAAAAAGGAAAGTAATATTTAAACGTAATATAGACAGCCATATAAGATAAAATAACATATGTTTCGAGATGCAGCAGACCTGAGCTACAAAGAAATATCTAAGTTATTATATAAGTAGAACATTCTCTCTGATACAATAACCAAAGAAAATGAACCAATATTATTCGGGGTAACGTTTTAAAACATTCGTCTCGTATGCCTTATATCCTAAATATCGTCTCTGTCTGTCTATCTATTTCTTTCTGTCTCTCTCTCTCTCTCTCTCTCTCTCTCTCTCTCTCTCTTTCAAAAAAAAAAAAGAAAAAAAGAAAATGCCAAAAGAAAAAAAAAAACGCACTCAAGTATTATGCTTGGATGCGATACCTGGAATAGTTAGTTAGTTAGTTAAAGATTAGCCGGTATTCTCCTGGCCCGGGCCTTGTCCAAGTGGTGGCCCGGCCTTGGCTCCCTCTTTAGGGAGTGTCTGAGACCTAAGTCTCCCATGGGAGGAGGCACAAGTACCTCCTCATCTTTGGGACCAACTGTCCCCAGGCCTAGCCACAAGCTAGGCCTCTCTAGTCTGCCATCCCCGCCACAAGGGGGCTAATGGGAATGACAGTCTTATGAGCTAAAAGCTCGGGCTCAGGCACCTACCCTACCCTAGAAGGGTTAGGCATGGTGTCGATGATACCTGGAATATCCCGAGAGTAAGTTATTTGCCTCTTTACTGACGTCATGTCATTATTGATGGGGTAACGGTCAATTTTTTCTTAAAATGTTCACAGCTAATGAGCTTTAATTTTGGGGGGATGAGTATAAGGTATTTTTTTTTATGTCTAAAAATCGATTCGTCATTGCTTTATCATTAGCTAGTGGCCAAAATATTTTTGCAATTGCTAATATGTCTCGATTTTCAAAACAGTTCAATATTTTTTCTTTGTTGGCCGATTTGAATAAAACCTTTTTTTTTTCCTAGCACAATTTCATATACACAGATTCTAACAAAAAAATATTTCATAAAATCGGACGATAAGTGAAAAAAAAAAACATTAAAAAAAGACGGTGATCATTCTCTGAAACGCCACCGATCGACACCATGCCTAACCCTTCTAGGGTAGGGTAGGTGCCTGAGCCCGAGCTTTTAGCTCACAAGACTGTCATTCCCATTAGCCCCCTTGTGGCGGGGATGGCAGACCAGAGAGGCCTAGCTTGTGGCTAGGCCTGGGGACAGTTGGTCCCAAAGATGAGGAGGTACTTGTGCCTCCTCCCATGGGAGACTTAGGTCTCAGACACTCCCTAGAGAGGGAGCCAAGGCCGGGCCACCACTTGGACAAGGCCCGGGCCGGGAGAATACCGGCTAATATTTAATAATAATAATAATAAACGCCACCATTTATATAAAATTGGGAGGAACAAGAATATGTCACTACCGGAGGAGGAAAAGTTAAACTGTTCACAGGTCACAAGTTACAGATTAAGAACCATAAATATGGTACTAGGGAAAGTGAGCACAATTTTGAATTTCCTACCCTAAACTTTCTAAACATTCACAAAATCCTAATAAAAAGAAAAAAAATTGTTTAGTACATCATCTGAAACTATATACTGTGGCAAAACAAAAGCATTCACATTGCTAAACTCATAAACTAGTATTTAGTCACTTAGCCATAATACCAACTTACCTCATAATTTGTAATATTTTACAATTAAGAATAAAACTAAGTATGCCCGAAATGCCTAGCCATGCTAAGCGTTCTAGTGGTACACTCTGTAATCACAATTTTACTACATGTAAACCAAACAATAAACAAATTTCAGTTTCTCAGATAAGAAAAGAATGAAGTGCTTATAATGGGCACTGCTTACAAAAAAAAAAGGAGGGTCACCAAATAGAACGAGAAGAATTTGTAAAAGACCTGTGTATAATTACGTCGTTTGACTTACCTTGTAAAGAATACAATAACACAAATGTTGCAAGAACCAGGAAAAATGACAGTGATAGGTAATGAGAACTTTCAGAACAAGAGACAGAATGCCAATGGTGACACTATTCAAATCATCTGTGCTGTTTCGTTTAGAGTACTGCTTGATGTTGAGGCTCCATTCACATCAGTAAAAATATATGAGCTGTTAAAAATGCTGAAAGCGTCTGCTACTCGCATAAAAGCAATAAACTACTGGGAATGCCTCAAAAGAGTTGGGAATGTACTCTTGGGCCAGAAGGCAATGAAGATATATAATAATATATACATGGTTAATATTGGAGGGCCTAGTCACAAACTTGCTCATACCATTACAAAGTACTAGAGTGAGAGATATGGAAGGAAGCATAAAACAGTCTTTGAAAAGCAGGGGATCCGTAGACGAAATAAGAGAAGGCTGTGCCAACATTCTTGGGACTGAACTATTCAACCTGCTGCTATCAGATATTAGAAAGACTGCTGTAACATAGGTATACGTGTTCAAAAGGTCACTGGGTTACTACCTCCGGAGAGTGCTAAATCAACCATGCAGTGATGAATATTGAAGCCTGCAAGCCGCTAATAGCAAGAGCCTTGTTGACCTGGCAATCAACAAGGAGGCCTGGTCCCAGGTTGGGTCGCAAGAGTAGAAATCAAGTAGCATCGCAGGACAAAAAGATAGAATCTCTCTCTCTCTCTCTCTCTCTCGTGAATTTGAGTCTCTCACCCAGGCTGCCAGGTGGAGCAGAGGTATGCTAGAAGTATGTGAGGATTGATTACCAGGCCCTGTACATTAAATTTAGACGTACTGTTTATAAAAATTATTACCTCAAATCAAACAAGTTTTTGAATGAATGAGGTACTCCGTGGACCTGTGGAGAGTACTGCCCTCACCGCTGGAAGACTGCTCTTCCAGAGTTAAATTGTGGTCTATCAGCAAGGCCGGGCTAAGGCCCAGGGACCTCCCCCAGCTGGAAGGCCTCCAGTTCACCATATACGTGATAATATTACATCACGTATATGGCGAACTGTTGATCGTTGTGGTTATTTTTTTCCCTTTGAAAATATCATTGGGGCAACACAGTATCTGTAGCCCAGGGGCCTACAAAATCTTAATCCGGTTCTGTATCTGTAGTGAAACAGCCGGCCTAACCCACCCGTGACACCTCCCTGCGGGTGTTGTTGCACCCGAGGATAAAGATAATACACGGAGTAAATAATCTACGGGGTAAATTTGACTAACTTTTTCTTTGGCATCCGCAAAGTTACTGAAGTTTAATTTGTAGCCTTCTTGGTCCCCCAGACTATTCGTACTAGTAGAATAATGGTACGCTTCGCTTGCTGTGTTGGCGAAAGGTTTCGCCTACACAGTAGGCTGCAATTTTTCATAAAGAAATTTAAATTTTAGTTTCCATATGATAACTTGTCAATGCATTAGAAACTTATGCCAGATTCTGTAATATTCCTTCTACATGTACTGAGGTAGAATGGGCTGGGCTTGTAGGATAATGAAATACCTTTCTGGGATCGCCCAGTGACCAGAACACACTTACTGTAAACAAACCACGGTACGGGTGGGGTTAGAACCCATGCTTGAGGCTCACTGACGTCCCCGGACTGGGAAAGAAACATGGCTTGTGATCCAGGCTGCCCAGCTTATGTGGCATTTGTGTGGCTGAGTGGATTAGAGCGCTGCCTGGGAATCTTGTCCGTCTCAGAAGCAGTATCGAGTCCTGCTGATTGCTATCTTTCTCTATATTTACCCGCTTGTTTCTGTGTGGTGCATTGATATAAAAATCGCTCTGAGGTCAGAACATACAGGAGGAGACTGAAATAGCTGTTCCTTTCCTGAGGGCTTGACTTATGGCCAGGTACTAAAGTCCTCTCATTTATTCCTGTGTCTGTATTATTTGTCTCTCTGGAAGTCCCAGGGGCTTACAGAATTCCTTCCTACTTTTATAATGTTGTATATATAAGGAAAACAGAACAACAGTTGATCGAATATAAGGAGCCGTGAGGTACGGCCACGAAGCCTAAGCAACACTCAACCACTAGAATACTCTGAATCATTCTATCAACTGGAGAGAAGCTACTATCACACACAAAAGTGCCTGCCCACGTAAGAGGAATATAAGTGAATTAACAGTAATTGACACTCAAAGACTGCGGGGGCAGTGGTTACCTAAATAGTCTTCAGATACCTTCAAGTAAGCTCAAGATTCTTCAGCCAGTTACCAGCAGATAACAGAAATACTGTATTGCTGAAACACGTAGAAGTCGTAAATAGGGAACTAGACCACTGCCTCTAGAAAATGCCAGATCATTCACAGTGTGATAGTTTTGGCCAGTAAGATGTCAATAGCAACAGCCTAGTCAAAAGAGCATGAGAAGAGAAGCTCACCATGGGGCGGGCTTCATGATTAGGAAAAAAACTTCAAACCGGTCATGGATAAATACTAAATTTCTGTTAATTCCTTCTCTATCCATTTCTCATTTCTGAGTAATAACATTGTAAAGTATGATAAAGTTTCACACTCTTAACACATCCTTCAGCTTAGGCACCATCTCATCTTCGTCAGTGTGTTCTACTATTGTGTTCACAAAACATGTGTAAACACCCACTTTACTTCTTTTGGCTAATAAATGTTTCTCCTACAGGATGGCTCGTCACATTTTGCCTTTGGTGCTGCTGGTGGTGGCGTTGGTTGTACGACTCATCCTCTCTGCTCCCGTGGGTGAGGAAGTTGAAGTAAATAAAGTAAGCTTTCGTTTGAGTTTAGAGTGTGTTACAGTAGAAGGAAAAGGATTATAGTAGCTTTAAGCACTTGGTTTTTTCTTTGGCGAGCAAATGAAAGGAATATACAAGATAGACAAGCCATAAGAACATATCTGTCTCATAATATGTTAGGCCAGGCTTACCTGGGGCCTTCCTGATCCGCCAGAGTATTGCGTTTGTTATTAAACAAATATGGATACACCTGTCATGTGTGGCTACCCTATTCTATAGGATATTTACATTGTTGGAAAAAAGCTAGCTAAATTTGCCTCATCTTCTATCACAGAGGATGGGTTACATATATTGGGTACTGCCCATAATCTGTAAACTCCATTAATGAGTTATTGTGTAAAATTGTGATATTACCATGATTTTTTGCACTTACAGACTTAATATATCTCTCTTGTCTCTATTCTTGAGAGGACTTTCTGGATTATATAATACAAAGTGAGAGAAGGCTCGTATGCAACCGAATCTAGTCGTTCATTGCAAGGATAGATATCAATGGTAAAATAATAACTGACATGCAGATTACTGAAGCAAATTAAAAGAACTCGGTATCATATGCAGCATTTGGTACTTTTTTGATGTAAAATTATAAGATGACTTTGAAAACCATTCATCTTCCTCATATATATTCCTTCTCCTTTGCAGTTCCATGAGCCGCTTGAGGAAGAGGTTGTGAATTCTTCTATCTTCAACAGCCTCGCTACCAGACCTTGTCCTGGAAAATGTTATGTCCGTGACTTCAGGAATCGCTGTCGTCTGAAGTTCACTTGCATGATGGGCTGATGTTCCCAGTTTTCACATTCAGTTTCCATTTGCTATCTTTTCTGCAAAATATTTGCTTTATATTTTAAATTGACAGATTACACTTGCTCATTCATTTACAAAATAATTTCCCCTTTCTTTAATTTCAAAATTTTAATTTAATTCGTCATTGGATTGTAACATGATTTTCATTTTGGTCTTATTCACATGCAGCACATCTGTTTCCACTTCTTTATTATATCCATGTGTCAGAAGCTCATCAATAAGCCTACCCATCTGACGCTTGCCACTCAGAATCCTTCACTAAACAGAAGCCTTCACGAAATGGAAGCTTTCCCTAAACAGAAAGCCTCATCAAAACAGAAGCCTGCATTGAACAGAAGACTTCATTAAACAGAAGCCCTATTTAGTCAGAAACATTCACCAAACAGAAACCTTAACCAATCAGCCCACCCTACTGAAGCTCACTTGTCAGAAGCAAGACCTCGTCCTGACGAGGTCTTGGTCGTCCATAACAGGTGTCAGGTGTGGGCGGTGAGTTGATGAGCCATGTTGCACATGTTTTTCCTTTAATTATTAAAAGAAATAGTGGGGTAAATTTCACTTGATTTATACGTACATATGACGCTTAAGCTTATAGATTTATCAAGCAAGCTTCTTATTGCAGTTTTCTATCTTGAATTATTCCGACTAGAACTTTTCTTGGTACGCAATTTAGATTTCATGACATAGTTAAGATTGACATAGAACTGAAAAATGTGTTGTACTTACTTGGAATAAAAATGGCAAAAATAGATAAATTTTGATTTCTTTTTATTATGGCATTTCTAAAGAACTGAATTTTTAACCTTTCATAGCAATTTCTAACTACTGTTAGAAATTGTTATGTAAAGCTTTGAGTTAAGAATTAGGACGACATGTTGATAAATTACACACATGTGCAACACTTGGGTATTTTTAATGAGGAAACGTTTCGCCACACACTGGCTTCATCAGTCCATACAAATGAGAACGGTGAAGAACAGGTGGAGTTTGAGGTAATCAGTCCATCAGCTTTGAGTCGATATAATCAGTCCATCAATCTTTTTCCGTTCTCCTTTGTATGGACTGATGAAGTCACTGTGTGGCGAAACGTTTCCTCATTAAAGATACCCAGGTGTTGCACATGTGTCTAATTTATCAACTTGTCGGTCCTCTGAACCATTCGTCTACATTAGGATGGCATACAGACAAAAGGTAAAGATTTGATGTCATTTGAGTTACTCATTCTTACAGAATCCTAGCAGTTTAAAATTTGTCACTATTCAGTATCATGTTGTTAGGTAAGACACATATGCAAGAGTTAGGTATCTTTATTCCGAAACGTTTCGCCTACACAGTAGGCTTCTTCAGTCGAGTACAGAGAAGTTGATAGAAGCAGAAGAGACTTGAAGACGATGTAATCAGTCCATCACCCTTGAAGTTTTGAGGTGGTCAGTCCCTCAGTCTGGAGAAGAGTATTGTTCCATAGTCTGAAACAATATGAACAATACTCTTCTCCAATACTCTTCTCCAGACTGAGGGGACTGACCACCTCAAAACTTCAAGGGTGATGGACTGATTACATCGTCTTCAAGTCCCTTCTGCTTCTATCAACTTTTCTGTACTCGACTGAAGAAGCATAATGTGTAGGCGAAACGTTTCGGAATAAAGATACCTAACTGTTGCATACTGTCTTACCTAACAACCTGTCGGTATTTTATACCATTTTAATGTTCATTCAATATCGTGTTATTCACTATTGTACACTGGAAGATTATACTTGCATCGTCCAATTTTTCCACATCTTACAGGGTGACTTTCATGCAGTGGTTTTAGCTGTCTTCCATGACGATTAAAAACAGCCACGGTGCCAGGAATGCGCCCTCATGAACAGTAGACCTACACAGTATACAGTAAATCTATAACTATTCACATACACAAGCCATGCTATTCCCCATGGCACCAAATATATATATACTAGGATGAAAAAGTGAACAGTTAATTGGCTAGGTCGGCAACACTCCAGCCTCAATGGTTCAATCCCCAACACGGATGGAAACGTTGGGCATGTTTTCTTACTCATGTCCCTGTTTAGCTAGCAGTAAGTAGGTACCTGGGTGCTAGTCGACTGGTAGGGGTTGCATCCTGGGGAAAAGATTGAAGGACTCCAATGGAAATAAGACAGACGGGCCTCGATGACGCACTGACTTTTTTGGGTTATCCTGAGTGGTTAACTTTCCAAGTTAAAAATCCAAACAAATTTTGTTTTAAGACCTTTGGAAAACCAATTTTAGACAAATCCTTTACAGATGTCTTGTCCAGAGTCTTGATACACTGCACCAACACAAACTTTTTAGTAATATTCAACCGTGGCACAACATACCACAAGGAGAGCCTGGTATATTTACTCAGAAGAAACGCTGATGGTTAATCATCTTTACCAGCAAGCAAGAGAGAGAGAGAGAGAGAGAGAGAGAGAGAGAGAGAGAGAGAGAGGAATGGAGGATGGGAAACCCACTCTCCCACAGGCAGAGAACAAAAGAACATCACATTGTTAAAATTATTTAATTTATTAGCCTCTTGTTTTCTTTTCTCTTCGGCTGGCTTACCAGTCCATCCTTTTAAAAATTAAGGTTATAATTATAACCATTAATACACACAAACACACACACACCTTATATATATACATATTTTTTTTCCAACAAGTTGACTGTCTCCCACCGAGGCAGGATGACCCAAAAAGAAAATCCCCGAAAAGAAAATATTTTCATCACCATTCAACACTTTCACCTCACCCATACATAATCAGGTGGGGCCAGGAGCTGAGTCTCGACCCCTGCAACCACAATTAAGTGAGTACTGTTTTTGCAGAGGCGCCCAGATACAACAGTTTAGAAGTATATATAAAGATATATAATATATCCCTCCAAACTCCCAGTATCCCAAACCCCTCCTCCAAAGTGCAGGCATTGTACTTCCCATTTCCAGGACTCAAGTCCGGCTATATAAAAATAACCGGTTTCCCTGAATCCCTTCAATAAATATTACCCTGCTCACACTCCAACAGATCGTCAGGTCCCAAAAACCCTTTGTCCCAATTCACTCCTATCTAATACGCTCACGCACGCTTGCTGAAAGTCCAAGCCCCTCGCCCACAAAACCTCCTTTACCCTCTCCCTCTAACCTTTTCGAGGAAGACCCCTACCCAGGTCTCCTTTCCCTACAGATTTATGCCATCTCTGTGTCATTCTACTTTGATCCATTCTCTAAATGACAAAACCACCTCAACACTCCCTCTTCAACCCTCTGACTAATACTTTTATTAACTCCACACCTCCTAATTTCCACACTCCGAATTTTCTGCATAATATTTACACCACACATTGCCCTTTGACAGGACATCTCCACTGCCTCCAACCGCCTCCTCGCTGCGACATTTATAATCCAAGCTTCACACCCACATAAGAGAGTCGGTAGCACTGTACTTTCATACATTTCCTTCTTTGACTCCATAGATAACGTTTTTAGTCTCCACATATACCTCAACACAGCACTCATCTTTTTTCCTTCATCAATTCTATGGTTAATCTCATCCTTCATAAACCCACCTGCTGACATGTCAACTCACAAATATCTGAAAACATTCACTTCTTCCATATTCCCTCTCTCCAATGTGATATCCAATTTTTCTTTATCTAAATCAATTGATACCCTCCTCACCTTACTCTTATCTATGTTCACTTTCAACTTTCTACCTCAAAAACTCATCCACCAACCTTTGCAACTTTTCTTTAAAATCTCCCATAAGCACAGCATCATCAGCAAAAACAAACTGTGTCAACTCCTATTTTGTATTTGATTCCCCATAATTTAATCCCACCCCTCTCCCCAACACCCTAGCATTTACTTCTTTTACAACCCCATCTATAAATATATTAAACAACCATGGTGACATTACACATCCCTGTCTAAGACCTACTTTTACCGGGAAGTAGTCTCCCTCTCTTCTACACACCCTAACCTGAGCCTCACTATCCTCATAAAAACTCTTCACAGCATTTAATAAATTACTACCTTTTTTATATACTTGCAACATTTGCCACATTGGTCCCCTATCCACTCTATCATATGCCTTTTCTAAACCCATAAATGCAATGAAAACTTCCGTACCTTTATCTAAATACTGTTCACATATATGCTTCAATGTAAACACCTGATCTACACATCCCCTACCCACTCTAAAACCTCCTTGCTCATCCACAATCCTACATTCTGTGTTACCTCTAATTTTCTCAATAATAACCCTACCATACACTTTTCCCTATATACTCAGTAAACTTATTCCCCTAAAACTTTTACAATCTCTTCTGTCCCCCTTCCCTTTATAAAAGGACTATACATGCTCTCTGCCAATCCCTAGGCACCTTCCCCTCTTTCATACATTTATTAAACAAAAATACCAATCACTCCAACACTATATCCCCCCTGCTTTTAACATTTCTGTCATGATCCCGTCAGTTTCAGCTGCTTTACCCCCTTTCATTCTACGTAATGCCTCACGCACCTCCCCCACACTCACATCCTGCTCTTCTTCACTCCTTAAAGATGGTATACCTTCCTGCCCAGTGCATGAAATTACCGCCTCCATTTCTTCGGCGACATTTAAAAGTTCCTCCAAATATTCCCAAAGTCTACCTAATACCTCCATCTCCCCATCTACTAACTCCCTTACTCTGTTTTTAACTGAAAAATCCATTCATTCCCTAGGCTTTCTTAACTTTTATATATATATATATATATATTATATATATATATATATATATATAAATATATATATATATATAATCCACTATCCCACTGGACCATACGTATGGTCCGGTGGATAAGGGCGTCATGTGTTTTCGCCCACCCTCAGGCAGGCCAAAGCAGCATGGGTTCGAGTTCTTGGCTAGTGCAATGTTGTTATTGATCAATACCACTCGTTCGTGGTCACAATAATATGTATGTATATGTAAATGCAAAACAACCATGGAGGGGGGGGGGTAGAATGATAGCTCTAGGACAGTAAAAAAAATAACTGGGTCTTTCGTGTTGCAATCAACACATCAGGAGCTTGCAAAATTGCAGAAAAGAGGAGTGTTTCCACGCGAATACGTTCCCGGAGGACCGGAGGGAGAGAGGAGAAGGCACCGGAAGTGCCCACAGACACAACAGCCAGATAGATGAATATTGTGGAAAATTTTCTAGGGGTGATTACCTGTATGTACCTCAACATTATTTACATACAAGTAATCTCATTGGGAGACAACCATATTGTTTACCGTAGTCACCCCGTGTAGACATGTGAGAAAACTTAACCACCCCTGGTCACGGCAGGTGGTCCCTTCGACCTCAAAATCTTATCCATATCTATCCGAGACCAGTATGGATTGGATAGCACCCACAAGTACGGTGCTACTAATTAATTGTGGACTGTATAGATTATATTAGTGTAACTGAATGAAGGGGGGGGGGTAGGTCACACATGGATATATCCATCAAGGAAAAACACTTGTACATAATCTCTCCACTTACCAGATATTCACTGGGGGTCACTTGATGTAGCTGGATCACTCATAACCTATCCAATTACAACATACCTAACTGGCCAGTATCAGTCTGCTATAACTAGAAGGGTTACTTAACTGTGGGTGATTGATACTCCTTATTTCCTCCATTCACCATCTCATTTCGATGTCCTGCTACAACGACACAGTTCTCATTCCAGCAGGACGAGGTA